CCGTCGTGAGGTCGTCTACCACCAACTCTACTGCATCGGCACCAGTCTCGAGCTCCTGAACATCAACATCTCTCCTGAGAAGTACTGAAAGGGGTAGGGAAAGGGCGTAAGTGAATTTCCGTTCCTCGGTAGGAACAGAAGCCAACGGAAAAGCTGTCTCGACGAAGGGAATGGTCCCCTTTGGCAGGATGAGGGAGAGGAATTTCAGGAAGTGGCGCTCCGCCCGTTTGAGCGTCAGGTAAGGGATTGGATGTCTCTGGTCAAACTCGGTAGCCGCTGATGGAAGCTCTAAACCTGACGATTCACTACATCGAGTGCTTTCCTCGGAGACGTTAAAGAATTCGAAACGGGCGCATCTCCGAAAGACAGTGCTGCTCGCATCAAGGAGGTCGCGAACCTTAGCGTGATCATAGACTTTCAGGTGCCCCTCGATAGCCTTGGGATCGCGAAGGATGTAGATGACAGGGTTGGTTCGGGCAAACTCGCTGAGTATGGACTGGACACCACGCTCCATCCATGAGCAAACCAGAATAGCGTGTTTCGGGTGCCTTGCCAGGACATCTTGCAAAATGTCAATCTGACGCCTTTGGTACTCGACCGCTCCATAGGTCTTCTTGCACGCCGGGCTGGAGAGGCCGGTTGCGTCGTGGAAAGTCTTTTCCAGGTCGACGACCTTGCGCTTCATGGCGCCGGAAGCTATAACAGCTAGGGTAGACTTGCCAGCACCGCGGATACCCGTGATGACGATGGAGGCATCGGCATCGAAAGGGGTTACCGGGGCCGGCACTGTGTGCAGCGGGGAGCCGGATGCTGAGCGAGATGCTACTCAAGACGTCAGGTGGAATCCAGAATGCCCAGACGGCCGGTTGTAGATTGCCAGTGGGACTTACCCGTAGCGCTAGAGCTGAGACCAGGACTGGCAGTGAGTCTATATGAAGGCCCATGTCTTGACGGCGCTCGCGAGTCTCTGTTCTCGAGGAAGGGTATCTTGGAGATGGGTTGAGGTGCTGGCTGTGGTGCTGACTGGCCGTCCCATGGCCTGGCCATGGTTGCAAAGGAACGCTTCACGCCAGCAGTTGCACCCAACGAGGCCATGGTAGCTTATCGATTCGGAAATAGCGGCAGATTGGAAAGGGGTCGGATTGAAGGGGGGGAATGGAATAATTGCAGCATAGCTTCCATACCTAGAAAAGGTAGGCATCTACCATGGAAAGCTCAATTGAGGTTTGCTGTCCTCCATGTCCTGGCCCGCCTGTCTTGTCCTGAGATGGCCCCTGGAAGAGCTCTCTGAGAGGACCCCCGCCATACTGGAGGGCCCTAGGGCAGCTCGGGAATAGGAAGGCGGGGTGCCTCGACGTGCTGTGTGCCCGCCGTTATCCCTAGCGCACATGATGAGGATGAACACTTATCCCGCCCCAAATCTCTCCATCTTTGACCTGGCTGTCTTCCCTGCATCGTAACCGATCCCCATTCCCGTCCCGTCCCCAAATGGCGTCGTGCAGCAGCATCCATGCGGGGGGACCCGTCTTGCCATTCGCACGTCCCGGGACCATACCAGCTCTGCCAGACTGCAGAGACGGCCAAATGACGCTGAAAGAAAGCACCGGTTGCAGCACCTATGACAGCACCTATGGCAGCACCTATGGCAGCTAATAGTATGACCCAGACCTGGTTCACGGGTCTGGGGCCTATCCAGTTCTATCCCATGCGGCAGAAATTCAAGAGCGCGGATCTTCAACAACGTCGTCTTTTCCTCCTCCTCGGTTGTTGCTCACAGGGAACTCCCTAGACTAGACTAAAGGTTCCCCGCAAATCGTCACCCACGTTCTAGTCTCAATCCATACCAGGCATCTCCAGTTCTCCACGCAGACCCGCTACCCGAGATTGCCATCTCCGCCAACCCCAGGTTTCCAACGAGAGTTTGACAAGTGGGGGGATCCCATCAACATTGGGGTTCTGGTGATTCCTGGACCTTCTCCCACATGTCTGGTGTCGTGAGGGCTACGCCGCCGTCATGAGCCTTGAGCCTTAAGACCTAGCTATTAAGACCTAGCTATTAAGACCCCATCGCCAAAACACTCATCGCCAAGCCACTTGAAGAGTTTTGTTTTTATCCCCAGTCCAGCGTCATTGACGGCAAACCATGGTTTGAGCGGCACCTTTGAAGTACGGACAGGAGAGAATATGTGCCAGACGACAAGTCACGACAACCAACGCCCATAACAGGACTGGCTCTTCCGCCTGCACACTCCCACACGTTTTTGCCATGCCCTCGAAACGAAAGGCAGCTAAGGCCGACTCCCCCAGTGACACGGTCTCGGTCCCTTCCCCAGTACCACCCGCTGCCATCACGGCCTTGGCCCCTGTGAAGCGCCAAAGAGTTTCCAGAGCCTGTGATCAATGTCGAGCAGCACGCGAGAAATGCGATGGCAAGCAGGCTCTATGCGCTCCATGCCTCTCACAAAACCGGCCCTGTGCCTACTCAGCTAGTCCCAAGAAGAGAGGAGTCCAGACGGGCTACATTCGCACGCTTGAGCTGGCGCTTGCCTGGCTCTTCGAGAAGGTCCCTGGCTGCGAGGAGGCTCTCGATGTCGTACTATTTCAGCAAGGAAGTCAGGGACAAGATGTATTGACAGGAAAGGATCCCCGCGGCACAGAGCGTCTGCACAAGAGGTGGAGACGGAGCCGAGTTCACAGGGGTATTGACCGCATTTTGTCTGGCGATAATGGACTCTCTCCTTTTCCTGACAAGCGCTTTCCGTCCGAGGAAGCAAGCGACATCGAGGGAGACGCCTCCAGAGCGGGCTCAAGCCTGCCTGCCGGGCCTCAAAGCAGTGACACGGGTCAGGGGCAGCTGTCCTCGGCTCCCGACAGAGGCACCCTCCGGAGCTCCAGTATTCCACCCGAGCCCGGGCCATCATGGCAAACGCCCCTACCTGCGATAGAGTCGCACCAAACAATCCACACACATGATATCGGTGCGCCGTCCTCAACTTCGCCGAGACGGTTAAAACTACCTGCCAACCACTGGCGCTTGCTGGACATCTACTTCTCCTACACTCACTCGTGGCTTCCCATTCTAGACAAGCAAGCTCTGTTCCAGGCCTCCTATCTCTACTCGGACCAAGGCCTTCTTATAGTTCCCGAAGACTCTTCGTCCGCGGTGCATGCCGAACTATGGAGCGCTCTTGCGCTGGCGTCGTTCCAAGATGCCGCAAGCTCAAAGTCTTTATCGGCTCATTCCATCTATCGCGACAACCTTTCCCCTTCCCAAGTGTACGAGATTGCTCGACGCCTTATTCCACCAGAGACTGGACCATTCCAGGTCCATCACTCTCGGGCTTTGCTCTTGTTGAGCCTAGTCAATTTGGGACGGGGCCATATGACTTCGGCTTGGCTGTTAATCGGCCTCGCAATCCGTATCTTCCTGGACATCAGCGCAAATCAGCCTGTTGGTCACAGCCGACAGCAACAAAGAATGCAGTCAGTGCTAGTCGCCTGTTTTATGCTAGACACAATTGTCTCGGTACGGTACGATAAACCGGCTCATCTAAAAGCAGAAGATATCGTCAATGAACTGCCAATACCCGAAGATGGACTGGACCAGTGGGAGCCGTGGGCACCATGCGAAGGGTTTGGGATAAGCACTGCAGCGTCTCAGGTGTCTCGAAACCCTGCCTATTGTCTAAGCACGTTTAACCAACTGTATGGCATCTTGAAGCTTGTCGCCAGAAGGACGTCCGCAAGAATAGGTATTGCACCTGTCGAGGAGCGTGCGATGCCCCTTGCCTCCCAAATACAACAACTAATTGATCTCAACTCGCCGTTTGGCACCTTCGCTACGTCGCATGATACAGGGTCAGCCTCTGTTCCTACGGCGTACCTCATCCGGACCGTCTATCTCTGGGCGGCTGCTCTCGTCGATCCTCAGACCGATCCTTACCTCTCTCTTATGAGGGAGACGTTGTACCAGTATCAAAAGCGATTTGGTATTTGCGGCATGCCACCCTTCATCTCGTCATGTTTAATCTCCCTAACCAACCAACCAAACCGGGCAACTCTTTCGGGGCATCACAAAGAACGACTTGAAGAGCTCATATCGGCCTACTCTTCTCCTTGGGGCGAGGAAGGAAGAAACAGGGACTTGCTCGCCGATTCTTCTACAAGCCATCAGACATCACATCTAACACCTCCGGCCACTTCAAACATTCCATACCTTACCATGGCCCCCCCTCCATTATATAATCACCCGTCATTCCCGACTCAGCCCTCCCAGGCTAGCAGCAGCGAAAGAGGATATAGGGCATTCAATAACTTGAGATTTCCCGGCGCAATCGATATGTACCATCAGCGGTCGGTCGCGTTTCCAAGATCGACCTCCTCGGCAACACTGCTACATCACAGGAACATGCGCAATGTAGTCGACATGCAACAAAGCTCGAATATAATTCCAGGGATAGATCTATCCCGACAGAACTTTGCTGTTCCTTACGCAGGCTTCAATGGAAGTAGGTGGGTAGACTACGATGCGCTTTTAGACGATTTTGCGTCCACTGAATGCACAGATCCCGTCGATGTCGACCCAAAGTTCATGGCCAATCTCGGGTTTGCGCCTGGTTGCGATAGTAGTGAGATTCTGTCCTGCGGATTTGGCGAAACATGACAAGAGTCTAAGAATACGTATATAATAAATGGAAGTCGTCCACCAAACAATCCCGCATTGTGTCATTCGCCTTTTTCCATGCAGCACAAAGTTGCGGTTGCTTGCTTACCTATGGGGAGCCGCCAGCCAAGGGAATGCCTGGCTGGCTTGGTATTCTTCTGCAGTCAGCCCAGCCCCAATGTAACGAATGAGAAGAGGTCTTGAACATGGAAAAAGAGGAGACCGGGATGGGGTGGTTGCATGAAAAGCAGAATTTTCTCTCTTCCCCTCCTCCCACCGAGGAATCCACCCACACTGAATCATATACCCACATGAAAACTTCAATCTCCATCGAATAGGTTAGATGGCCGAGCGGTCTAAGGCGCCACGTTAAGGAGAACCCTTGATACAATCACTAGTTGATTCCGTGGTCCGAAAGGGCGTGGGTTCGAATCCCACTCTAATCAGCAAACTCCATTCAAGCACAGGATGTGTATCTTTTTGGAATCTGTGACAGACTTTTGTGACAAACATTTTTGCCCCTTTGCTCTCCGACAACTTTACGCCAACATCACCTACAGTGTCAAGTCCCATCATGTACCACGCAGATGCATCGTTGGGCATCCAGCCACAATGTGAGTTGTATTGCATCACTACCATTTCTATCCATATACCGTGCACCCCATCAAGGCACGTTATGGCGCAGTTTTGTTTTGGCAGTTCCAATACCATCATATTCAGACCTAAATCCACGGTCGCTCTCCTCATAGCGACACATGGAACCCATCAATTACGATAGGTCACTCCCTATCCCCTCATCATCCAGCCGCGCATCAGCCCGCCAGGTCTCCACGATGCAGTCGCAGCGCTTGTGACGAATCATCCATATTCACATCAGCCGTCGAGGTCTCGTTCTTCTTGACGCCGTACAGATACGGCTTCTCATTCGCATAACAGTCCGTCTCCGCCTCATAAGGGAGCGTCCCGTTGAGAATGTACGCCCTGGCGATCGAGTCGGTGCAGTTGGACGTGTCCCTCGACGAATGCCCGTACCCATGATGCACAATCAGCCGCGCGTTCGGCCCCATCTCGCTCGCCAGCCGCCGTCCGTTGCGCAGCGGCGTCGCGGGGTCGTACGTCTCTGCGATCAAGAGCACGGGATGGCGGAGGGTGTGGTTCAGGTCGCCGCGGAAGACCTCGGCTGGGTGGGGCCAGTACTTGGTGAACTGCCGGCACTGGAACACGTCGTAGAAGCGGCCGTTACCCGCGATCCAGGACTGCGTGGTCATGTTGGACCACAGGGACAGCCACCAGTCGAGACCGTCGGCGGGCTGGGGGGCGTCGTACGAGTCGGCGCAGACGACCATCTGGAATATCTCTTCTGACGACGGGTGTCTGGGGATCTCGGGGCACGGCAGGCTCGGGTCGGAATACCAGTTGTCGACCAAGACTGCTGCGAGCGTCGAGTTGCCCTCCTCGAGGGCGTAAAGCGTCCGGGCGAGGCCAGGCCAAGCTTGGGCGTTGTATAATAAGCCGTAGATGGTGCTGACCAAAGACGAGTACGTGACCAGTACCGGGCCGCTCAGCTCGCTGTATCCAGGCACGGGGCGGGTGATGAGCGACGATATGAGGCGGTCCATGCGCTGCTTGAGATCCGAGAGCACAACCGGCTTGCCGTCCCTCGGCTTTGCCAGCGCGCAGTGATCCGGCCCCGCATGGAGGCACTCGCCCAGAAAGCCATCATTCCACGCATCCGTGACGTTGTCGAGTGCCGTAAAGCCGAAACCGCCCAGCACGCGATGGTCGCGCACATACTCCGTCCCGTCCAGAATCATACGGCCCACGCTGTCGGGAAACATGCCCGCGTACGTCTGCCCAATGCCCGTACCATAGCTGACCAGATAGCCCGTCAGCTCGTCCTCGCCCAGCGCCTTGCGGATCTCCTCCATGTCCCTCGCGACAAAGGACGTGCCGACAAAGCGCGCCAGGTCGCCGTGCAGCTCCCAGCAGGCGCGGAACATGGCCTCGTTCATGGCGTCGGCCAGCTGGAGCTGGCCGGCGGGCGAGGCGACGGCGGCGCGGAACTGGTTCGTGAGCAGGTACCAGCGGTCGCGGTCGGCGTCGTAGGGGTAGCACGAGACGGCGGGCTGGGAGGCGTTGACGCCGCGGGGGTCCCAGCCCAGGACGTCGAAGACGCCGCCGCTCAGCCGGTTGGTGATCTTCTCGGCGGACGACCAGGCGTACGAGGTGCCGCTGCCGCCGGGGCCGCCGGGCTCGATGACGAGGGTCCGCTCGCTCTTTTCGGAGGTCGAGTTAGGAGAAAATCCGGATACTTGATACTTGGTCACGGCCAGCCGGGTGATGCGGGTGTCGCTCGCGTTGGTGTAGTCGAGCGGGACGTCGAGGTAGCCGCAGAGGTAGACGCCACGGCCGGCGTACGGATCGCTGCTGAGCGAGACGTTCTTTTTGGGGGGTGCGCCCCAGCTCCAGTGGTCTGGGTTGGGGTCGTAGAGCGCAGCCCAGGTTGCGTCTGGGGTGGTGTCGTTGAGCGCGGGCGGGAGGGTGGCGTTGGTGCAGGGCAGAAAGTGAAATTTGTCGCTGCGCCGCGGGAATTGGCCATAGATGATAGTGGCGTCCGATACCTTTACCTTGTAGTGGTCTGGGACGACTACGCTGCTATGCTGCAACAAAGCGTCGTCGTTGTCGGCGGCAGATGATGATGATGATGGACAGGACTTGGGGCCGGCCAGGCTCCACTGGGGGAGTGTGACGATCAGCAACAAGCCGAGGATGGCTGCGACCTTGAGAATCCATGCTCCCTGTCGATTGCGTGTTAGCCAGTGCTTTGGGGCCGGCGGCGGCGGCGGCAACGACAGCAGCAGCGGCGCCTTCTCCATTGTTGATGACGAAAACGAGTCTCGCGGCTCCTGCTCGTGTTCCTCTTGAAAAGCGGCGCCGTGATGCTGGGCAAGACGCGCGGTGCTTGGCCGATCCGGTAAAGTGCTCGCTCGGCCCGCCATCGTCGTATTCGGCAGCGATGGGTTTCCACCAATCAACAGCTCTCTCGCACTTCCCATCTTTCACAACTCACTTACTAGAAGTAGAGGGTGATGTTTTGGTGAAAAAGCTTCCATACTATCTCGTCTGGGAGACTCGACATTTTTCTTCTTTTTTTGTAGCTATTTCCTTATCTGCCCACCCCGCGAGTAGGGATGAAAAGGTTTGTGGGTTTTATCCAAACAGTTTTTCATATTGACTATCGGGTCGCCATTTAGCCGAACGAGCACGTCAGTTTCGTCTGGAACGGAAGAAGCAATTGCATCATGTGGGCTGCTGGTGATGTTTGTTGGCTGCGCATTCCTGAGGAGTGTGAGAAGGGATGAGAGAGCTGAGAGGTATCGGTGGGTAATACTTGATGGGCAAAATTAGTCGGGGCATTTTTATCGTCCCAGGCACGCAGCCTAATGTGCGGGATGATACGAACAATCTATCCCCGACATACCCAGCTATGTGGTGCTAAATTGGGGTTTATATCATGATCTCACCATTCAGTATTTGATTTTGTATGAGTTTGGGGGCTGTATTCTCGTTCTCTGGGCCTAGCTATTGCTCATTCCTTTGTCCCAATGCCTCTCCTATAACGAAACGCCATTCTTTGTCCGCCTATTGAAGCTTGTTTGCTGCAGTGCTGCAACATTGAACTTTCAGTGCCATGTTTCCCCAGGTTGTTTTTAAAACTTTCTCTCTTCAGTATGGCATCCGAACAACACAGATGTTGTGCCAAAAGCGATGATGCCTCGGTAGCTACTAAGCATCGCTCTTCTGGTGTATTTTCCTCTTTTGTAACAGATCTGCGGCAATCTCTTGAAAACCCCTGAAAGACTCGTTAGCACCGCCGCAAAACAAGGTAGATAGTGTAGGTATCTTACACCGAACAGCACTTATCAGAATTGCCGAACAGACTCATCGGCGGCTGGATACGGCCTTGCGCAATCTGATCCTTGCGGTAATTGTGATACTCTGTCGAAAAGGGGCCATCATGCTCAATCTGGGACATCATTAAGGGGAATTTGGAGTTAGGGACTACTGTGCTGTTAGCAATATGACAAGATGAATGATTCCAATTTTCAGACACCTACAGTAGTGCTTCCAAAGAAGCGTTTCCATCCCTCTCATGTGGACGTCCCACCGCAAACAGATGTCTCCAGCTTCAAAGGCAGCCTCCATCAGCGCGTTGTTCATCGATTCCAGACAAGCCTCCAGTTCTTGGACGAAATCGCCCTGCACGGGTCTGGAGGTGGTTTACCAGTGGGACGCTCGTGTTTTTCAAGCCCGCCACATTGTTATTGATCCAGAACAGACGGGCTTGTTCGTCCGCATTTCGATCCGTCACACTCCTGTGATTTGGGAGTGCATTCTAGCCTGGGCCATTGTTACCTTGAGATTGGAAACTCATACTCGTCCGGGTTGGGGTTCAAAGCAAGTGCAGTGTTGTGTTGTAAAGGAAAAAGTTGAACCGGTGCGTGAACCACCTGCGATTAGTATAAACACCGTTGATTGGTCCGTTGAGGATTTTGGTCACTCCTGGGAACGCGCGTGGACCCAGCGTTTCGTCCGAACTACACGCGCTGTGTGTCTGCCTGGCCCGAGGGTAAACAAGCTCAGTTCGCTGAGAGAAAGCTACCAACCGATTCAGCAGCCGGATTGCGATTAAAATAATGTACGATTTGGATAAGATCAAGGTAGCGACGATGCTAAAGTTGGTATCGAACTGGTTGAAATCGATGATCAAAGACTCATCCGAGCTTGGGTACAATCAGGTGGTAAAATCGGGAAGGGGGCCAGACTTTTTTACTCATACTATACCTGCCTGGGCGAGCTGGGCTACGGGTGTATATACAGTGTGAGTAGCCGGATCGTGCCCAACGCACCTTCCGTTGGTTCTCAAAACATCTATCAGCGAATTTGGAAGGTGCAAGCCAATATGGTGGTGGAAAATATGCTGTGATGGAGGATGTAGTCTCCGGGAATGCCATCCATTATCTGAGCCTCGAATGATATCTCTTCTTGTCAATTCTCCAGTTTGCGCGTAGTACTCAGCTTACAGTAATGTCACACCATTTGTTACTTTGTGAAATCATTCCATAAACATAACATGAATTAACCAAGGTCATTCTATCATCATCTCACGTGGCTTCTCACTCCATGCACCCACAAACGCATTCCCTTCGTAGAGCCCCGTCCTCCGATATAGACCCGGGCCAATACGCTCAAGAACCAAAACACAATCCCAAATTTTAAAGCGAAACAAGCATAGATAAGTCCTATCCCTCGGATTGGGTAGCTCACCCTCAATATCAAGACTAATCCCTCTTCCTTCCCTAATTACTGGTGGTTTCCGTATGTAATCATACGCATCGTCCGGATGTCTATTACTATCCCAATCCGCACCCTCAATAACACGCCC